TTTGAATTTTTACTATATGGTTACATCAATATGTAATTAACTCGAGAACTTTATAGGGGTTTGCCCTCAAATAATACTCTGTACTAATTAAAAGCATTTGGACAAGAAAGAGACTTTTCTTTTAAGTTCTAAAAATAAGACTAAATAATACTTAAGGGACTGTTGCATCCTTACTAAGCCCAAACCCACTGGCCTGCTACAGTAACCCGTCACAGTGACCAAATGTGCAGTGACCAATGTTACAGTTACCAATGATATAGTTACAAAATTCATCCAGTGACCAAAAATTAATACGTCCCACCAATGACCTGCATCACAGTGACCAAATGTGCAGTGACTTTTGTCCAGTGACCAAATGACAAAGTGACATCCGCTCGGTTATCAATTTTTATAGTGATTCTCGTGCAGTGATCACTGCCACAATGACCATCGTCTACCAGTTACAGTTACACCCGACCAGTGACCTAACCCGATTAGTTACAATTACCCAACCTGATTTGTTACAGTTACCCGATCTAACCAGTTACCGTTACCCAATCCGATTAGTATTAGTTACTTGACCCGATTAGTTACAGTTACCAAATTCGACCAATCAAAGTTCTCAAATCGCATAAGTTACAATTACACGATTGAATTAGTTACAATTACCCGACCGACCCGATTAGTTTCAGTTACCAAACCCAATTAGTTACAATTACATGGTTCGACTGCCGTTGCCGCCAATCTTTGACCACCGGCACCGCCCACTATCTCTGTTCACTGGCTCTGACCACATCCTCTGGCCACCGCCGTCCACCACCATATCTCCGGCGGCCAGCCTCCACCGCCAGTGACTGCAGCTGCCCCGCACCAACCCCCTCCCCAACCCCAACCCCAGTCCAGATCCATCCCCACACTAGCCCCACGCCAGCCCCAACCCCCTCCCAAACCCATGTACAACCGCTGCCAACCCCCCATAGCCCTCCTCAGCCCCACGCACATCGGCAACGGCGACGGGCAGCGAGACGAACCGCCGCATCGCCGCATCGCCGCCCTAGCCGCCTCTCTAGTCCAAATCAGCCACTGTCTAGAAGCCCAAGTCACATCGTCATATCTCCGCCATAGCCACAACCCTAGCTAGATAGCTATCAAACAAAAAAGAGTAGAAGAGAATATTGGAACGGTTGTGGCATTGGAGATGAAGAAGGGGCGTCGTCAATTTAAAGGGAGCCAGTGACGGAGATGCGGAATAAGGCGGAAATGGCGATGCAGACGGAGGCGGTGACTTCGATGCAGACGGAGGCGGAGCCGACGGGAAACATGGAGGCGACGGCTGCCATTGTTGAATGATGAACTCCAATTCCTTGGCTGCATAAGATCCGCAGCGGCAGGTGGAGTATTTAGGGCAAATTCATCAGGGGCATAGAAGATATTTCACACCTAATTTAGTCACATATTTGTCTAAACGGGTCTCTTTTTTGGAAGATTGAAAATCAATCCTATTTTAGTCATTAGGTCTTCTGTAGGTGATATCCGTGTCATTATTCCAATTTTATAACTTCCTAGAAATTTTGCTTGCATATTCGTATTTTTTTACAAAAAAGAAATGAGGACTCGGACTGAACCGGCCCGTTTCAAACGAGGCGGGTAAGGTTAATTCGGTTCCTATTTCGAAACTTGATATACCCGAAACAAACCTACCCACTAAATGAAACCGGCGGTTCTTGAAAATTTATCAATTACTCGAATCGACCCGGACCGTGCTCAGTGCTCACCCCTAATTCTTTCCACAATTCTATTTTCGGGACCTTAGTGGCCGGCCTCTTCAACAACCTTCTTTTATAGTTTTTAGTGGTATAAATGAAGACCCTGCGGGTTATACATATACCAGTCGCTCTTAACATCCAAATTCAAATGGTATATAAACATAAAAAAGTTACCAACAAAATAATTACACATAAATAAATGTTGAATTTAGTTAGAAAAAATTCAATCAAAATCAATATGAGTAAAGCATAGCATAATTTTTCAAACAGAAGGACATCGCTTTCAATTAAATAAAACCCATTCACTCCTTTTTAAGAAGTTTTTATTACTGGTATTTTATTCTTTGAATGGGAGTAAAGAAATGGAAGTGCCCTATTCTGAAAAGAAAATATACTTAGCGCCCGTTTAGTTATAATATCCAAATCAACTATATTGATTAATTTTGTTGAAATATGTGAAGTTCCGACTAAAGTGGTTAGATTTGACCGATTATGATGATTTTACGAAAAAAACTATGTTTAAAATATATTTTATTAATGAAATAAATAAAAAAGTATATGAAAAATAATAAAAATGATTCTCTACAACAACGTCAGTCAATACAACAAAAAAAATAATCACGGTTTACAACCTTACTGTTTCTTACTATTACATAATTCACCCTCAAAATTAATAGTTATATGTTTGGTGAAAAGGTTGAGTCATGCTGAAAAATAGGGTTACTATACGAGCTCTTAGTAGTTAGGATGTTTTCTTTTGGACTGAAATTTGCTGGTCTGGTCTGGTCTGGTCTGTTTAAGTCTGGTCTGGTCTGGTCTGTTTAAGTCTGGTCTAGTCTGGTCTGGTCTGAACTGGTCTGGTCTGGTCTGGTAAACGTCTGGTCTCTGTGTATTTTATAACTACGGAAGTCTGGTCTGGTCTGGTCTGGTCTGTTTAAGTCTGGTCTGGTCTGGTCTGGTCTGGTCTGTTTAAGTCTGGTCTGGTCTGGTCTGGTCTGTTTAGTTCTTTGTGAGTAATTTCTTATTTAAGTTATTATTATTATTATTATTATTATTATTATTATTATTATGTACCCCTAATCATCTTCGGCTTATGATACGTTAGGTTGTTGTAGGCGTGTGTTGTGTATGTTTTCTTATGGAGATAAAAGGAAATTGCTAGAGAATGCATTTTCTCGGAATTAATTATTTTTTCAGACTCTTTTTCCCTCCTAATTATATCCTAATCATCCGGAGGGAGATCTGTATGTTTTCAGAAACCATCCCTCTTTCCTTCTCTATCAATACGGAAATCCGCCCATCAACCATTTCAGAGAAGTTATTTTCATATATAAAGTTTATTTCTATATCAAGAAGCAAGAAATAATGGCTTATAGGGGAGATGAAGATTATGATTATCTGTTCAAGGTGGTGCTAATAGGCGATTCCGGTGTAGGAAAGTCCAACTTGCTCTCGCGTTTCACCCGTAATGAGTTCAGCCAAGAGTGTAAATCAACCATCGGCGTCGAGTTCGCTACCCGCACCATCCAAGTCGAGGATGACAAGATTGTGAAGGCTCAAATTTGGGACACGGCCGGACAAGAAAGGTATGTATACATTTAATTGATCATCTTATCAAATGCATGATCAGCAAATAAACTTGATGTACATTTGCATGCATGCGTGAAATGGTGAAAATACATATCTGAAAATCTTTTCTAAAATGTATATGTCAAAAATCTAAATCAAACCATATAGTCCTCTACAATTTGATAGAATTCCCTTGCATCGCTGCATTTTTTCCTCGATCTCAATCCTCTGTCTTTTCCAAATTCACATTGTACCTTATAAGTGGATTGCACCTAATGGATCATAAGTTATGGCATCCCAAATTCGTTTCCATTTATAATGTATCTCATTACTCAAAGTTTATTTTATAAAATCTAAAATGCTAATATGACAATGTTAAGCACCAAAATTACTTTTTGGGCAACACACATCTGTTTCATACACATCCGTAATTCAGTTTCAAAACATAATAACCACCGAAATTACTAATTTGTGAGAAAGTATAATTAAAGATGGATCGAGATATTTGACGTTGACATGATAAATTCATATGTTAATAACAAATGCAGTTTTTAAAATGCCAAATGTTTAGTTTTTCATTTCTAATGTTTAAACAAGCCTTTTTAGAAATTCTTGATTTTATAAATATCTTCAGAGTAAGATTAAATAAATAAATAAAATAAATAACATTTGGAGTCGAAATCTACAGTTTTTTCGATTTTATGATGGTCAGATGGGATGTTTTAATTTGAGTGCATTGTGTTAAACTTACTTCAATAGAAGTAAGAGTACCTACCATGTGAATAAAGAACATTAAGTCTACCAAATATTAAAAAAAAACATAATGCCAAACAAGCTCCAGATAGACTTTCCCGTGCGTTAAATATGTTTTTCAGCACTACAAGACTTCATTTTTTTAGTAACTTTTATTTTAGGTTGCTAAAAAACTGTTTATCCCATCCTTCCGCGTTAACTTTTCATGCCTGCTGCTTTTCAGAACATTGACCATATATAAACCACTTCGTCCATGGCATTTCTAAATGTGATATCTAAATGTTTCTATGCTTCTAAGACATCGGAAATTTGTAATTGTGATTTTGCAATATCTATATGTTTCAGATACCGTGCAATCACAAGTGCTTACTATCGAGGAGCGGTTGGGGCTTTGCTTGTGTACGACATAACTCGTCAAATAACTTTTGAGAATGTGGAACGATGGTTGAGGGAGCTGCGGGATCACACCGACCAAAACATTGTGATAATGCTAGTAGGAAACAAGGCAGATCTCGGCCACCTGCGAGCCGTCCCCACCGCAAGTTCAATGGCGTTTGCAGAAAGGGAAAACACCTTCTTCATAGAGACTTCGGCTCTTGAGGCACTCAACGTCGAAAATGCCTTCACCGAAGTGCTGACTCAGATCTATCGGGTAGTCAGCCGGAAGGCCCTTGACATTGGTGATGATCCAGCTGCTGTGCCCCGTGGAAGGGCGATAAACATTGGGGACAAGGAAAATTCAAATGGTAATGGAGGGTGCTGTTCTGCATAAAAGGAGGAAGAAAGAAAACCAACTAGGTTCTGATCAGTGCTGCTAACGTTAGCTGTATTTTTTGTGACATGTATAAGATTAAGGATCCTATATACAGAAACTGCATATGTCAAGTAAAAGGAATTTGCAGCAGCCAATCACTCATCTCATGTTGTATGAATTTTGTCTGTTCTGAATATAATAAATTGTCCAACATTATTTTGCAATTCTCATGATGATTATGCATGTAAGCAAGAACACACTAATACCTTGCTATTTATTTAATTCATTACAGAAAAGCAAAAAAAATACAGGTGTAAATTATTATACAGAAATTATTGGATATACATTTGATATGATGGATTACATGTTTAACCCCAAACCAGCACCATTCTTTCTTTAGTGATCTGAGGCTTGAGAGTGTAGCTGATCCAAGCTCATATCCCCACCCTAGTATCACCAACAAGCATTTCCCCTCTCTGGGCGCTACCGAACTGCAAGAATCAGTCTTTAAGTAAAACAATAAGTATAAAAAAAAAACAGTTTTTAAGTGACACTAGATCGAGAAGATGCCAAAATAAAATAAAACATAATCAAAAAGCAAAATGTTGAGAAGTTCCTATATGAAACACCACTGTTAATTGTAGTTATGTTACCCTTTCAACTTTCAGATTCTACACTTGAAGCGTACCAATTGCTCTGTATAAAGTTATAGTACGGACTAAAAGGAAAGTATGTAAATTATTTAGAGATCGAGAGTGTAAAAGGTAGACAAGAGAAACCTATATTTTGGAACACTTCATTATCATCATCCTCAACGCCTTAATCCCAACTACGTTGGAACGGTGACAGGGAATTTATACTGTCAATCAATTTAAGAGTATACAATTATTGTAAAATAAAAATTGTTTTGCAATATACATTCATCTAGAAGAATAATGTCAAGGACTCAAGGTTTAATGCCGGATTAACTTCTTCTTGAAACCTTTTAGAAAATAAATACTGAGATGTTATGCCAAAACTAACATCATTATATGAACTATTCACTTGGCTTGTCGGCTCTATATGCCATTTATGCCCCTAACAATCTAATTAGACAATTGAACCAACCCAATTCTCTAGCTCATTCACTTGACAGAATGAACTATTTGCATTCCCAGGTAAAAAAATTGAATGAATTACAAAGCAAACTAAAAACATTATCTTGTGAGGATTACTGGGGTTACCATGACTAGTGAATAAAAGATAATGAGATTGTGTGTATTCGTAATGGCCTACATACATAACAACGAAATGGGGTGTGATATCATGTGTTAATGCAAATTAAACTTAGATACAAAAAGGGCTAAATCAGGCTTAGGTTAGCCACTAGCATGTCTAATAGGTGTACTTAGAAGCTGAAGGAACCATAGGGCCGTAGTTCAAGGGCTGAAAATGAGTTGTTTCATGTGTAGTCCATGTCCGATTGATAATTTGATATGCCATGTTATAATACCAACACATCAAAGGAGCAGAACGTTTTTTGGAAGTTCAGAAACAACTAACCCCCTTCTTGATGTAAACAAACTCAACAATTGGGAGTACTTCAAATTCCACAACATCAAAGATGAACACATAAACACACATGGTGATTATGAATTGCCAAAGAAATACAGGCATAGGAAGATATACTTAGAAATGCCATATTTTACCCGGGGGGAAGGAAGCTGGGGGAGCATGGGGTAAACAGAGCTGAAACTCCTTCCATAGAGTTTCAAACCCAAGACCTCCCGTATGGAGAGTGAGTCTGTATGGAGAGTGAGTCGGCGACCAGTTGAACTGGACTGCTTCATCAAGAAATGCCAAACATATGTACAACATATATGGAGTGTATACATGTGTATATATACATGTATATTTCAACAGCAACCACACAAACATGGAGGATGGCTCAGGTCCGGAATAATTTTACAAGTAGTTCTGACCAGATCATTTATGTTATGCATGTACATGTATAAATATTATGCTCCATTGTCCATATTTCTTTGGTATTTTGTTACTCATGTAAATATTCCATATGAAGTACTCCGTATTACTCCGTGTTATTTTTATTTTGTGTATCAAATTCATCATATTTGAATTCTGTTTTGGAGTTGAATTGATTGTTCAGTTCAAATTCTGAATTTTCCTACTTCGTATTAATTAATACCAAGTGAAATATAACTACGAAATAGTTTAACTCAATCAAACTCTCTAGCCTGAAAAGAGACAATCAGACAAACAAGTTGGGATGGAGATGACATAAAAAGGAAAAATTGGATAGTTAAATACTCACCCGAAATCGAATTCACCATTTATCAGTCTGCTCCGCGTTTGGAGTCTTCAGGTTTCCGGCCTGAATCGAAGGAGGGCAAGGGATTGCCGCCTTTGACGATCCATCCAAGGGCGAAAAAGGAGGCACCCGCGAATATGGCAGTGCCCCATGCGTGGGAATACCACTTGCTGTATTGCCTGATAGCAAACCTCCATTGCTCTCTGAGAGTGGAAGGATCCGGGTTCACCGGGTCGGGTGGGTTCGGAAACGAAGTACCCCCAGCGTACCCGCCTCCATTAGAGCTCCGGATTGGTGCTCTGGGATGAGCAGGGTCGGTTGAAGGTGTGGGACGAAGATCGCGTGTCGACTTGGGTTTCTGAGAGTTGGCTTCGGACATGGCGGTGTCAATAACAAGAAATGATGACTGAATTTTCACGAGTAAAGATGAAGAAGAAATCACAGAACTACGGTTAATATTCACCCCCGAATATGGATGACTTTGATAGTTGTCCTAATGTTTGGTTGCTAGATTGTGCTTTATTCCTCCAGAGCTGAAAAGGAAGAAGAAACAATATCACTTGACAAATATCCTACTTATATTACTTTTATATACGATCTGCATATTCTAGTTGATCATAGTTTATTTCAAAATTATATAAAGTCCTACCTCACGGTGAAAGATTTTTATCACGATAAAATGATATGTTTATTTAGACAATAATTAAATATGATGATTTGAATAACTTTTGAAAATAATTTTGATAGGCATATAATATAATGAGGTTAGCGTTGATAATTGTGATGTTATAAATGTATTATTTTTAATATTTTATGATTAACTTGTCATTTAAGATTGTTAATTGCTTCCTGAAATAGAAATAAGAATCTTTATATGGAATGTCCAAAAAAGGAAAATGAGAACATTTCTATGGGAAGACGGGAGTATTATAAAATATGTACTACCTCCGTCCCAGAATTATCTTCATAGTTCGGTTTACGATGTTTGACTGACGATAAAGCAACTTGATCTCTGTTCACACTCGAATTATTTTTAGTAAATAAAATTTACATATTCAGAAACTACATTAAAACCGCTACAAAGCCTGATTAAGAAAATTTGAATTTGATAAAAATTTGATATATAAAGTAAAAGATTAAGAGTAATTTGAGTTGACCATGTGAATAGTAACTATGAAGATAATTTTGGGACGGAGGGAGTAGTACATTATATTGTGAAATAATCATATTGCCTATTTCGTACAAAATTAGATAAGCAATCATTTTGCATGTAAAATAGATTATATTGTTTGATTAGATCTGTAATTTATTTTTAAGTTACTCAGAAAAGCGTTACAGTGCTTTATAAAAACATGCAAAGTGTCTTACCATCTTCCCTATAAGTAAAATATTTTACATAGTGCGAAATGTATTAACAAAGTGTCATACATTTTATTGCCTTGTTTATATTTTTATTATGGTATAGTTTCCTTGGTTGATATTACCTTACTTAAAATTAGGTAGCTACCATGTTTATTATTATCGTTGTAAATCCTCCTATATATACCCTTTCATTCATACTCTTGGTTTAACACCTTTTCTAGTGTTCTTCTTCACGCCAGTTTTTCTCAATCCAAAACCGACTAGTCTATGTTTACTGATACTCGTGATTCTTACCTTATTGTTTTATTTGTGTATGTTGATGATATTATTATTACATGTGATGATCCTATAATGATTCCCTTAATCAAGCGATATCTCTCTCAACGTTTTCAGCTGAAAGATTTGGGATCCCTTAAATATTTTCTGGGCATCAAAGTTGCCAGATCCAAAGGTGACATTTTTCTCAATCAACGCAAATATGCTTTGGAAATGCTTAACGATACGGGGCTCCTAGCTTGCAAGCTTCCTGCAACTCTCGTTGATCCTGATGTACATCTCTCGCCTCAAGGAGGCGTCCCTCTTCCCGATCCAACATCATATCGTCGCCATGTGAGCCGCCTTCTGTACCTTACGATAACATGCCCTAATATTACAGTTATTACTTATAGTGTCAATTTAGTCACTCACTGTATGTCCTCTCCACAGGATTCCCACTGGAACGCAACTCTTCGAGTTGTTTGCTACATCAAATCTGCTCCAGACCGTGAGATATTGCTCGATCTCCTCCGCCAATTCCCTCAAACTTCATGCTTATTGTGATGCTCATTGGGCATCGTGTCCAGTCACTCGTCGTTCCACAACTGGCTATTGTGTTTTCCTTGGCACTAGCCCTATTTCATGACCTAGTAAGAAGCAACCTATTGTTTCATGTTCATCTGCTGAAGCTGACTACCGTGCAATAGCTTCCGCTACAAGTGAATTAACGTGGCTACAATTGTTGCTCCGCGAGTTACAAATTTTCCCACATCCTGCTCAACTACACAGTGAAAATCAAGTGGCACTTCATATTGAAAACAATGGCGTCTTTCACGAACGCACCAAACACGTAGAGATAGATTGTCATTTTGTTCGTGAACGCATTCTACATGGTGTTATTCATACCTCCTTTGTGTCATCAAATCACCAACTTGGCGATATATTCACTTAAGGCTTACATACTCGTGCATTTACCTCCATCACATCCAAGCTCATGTCACGCCCTTGAGCTTGAGGGAGAGTATTGCCTTGTTTATATTTTTATACTTGTTTATATTTTTATAATTATACACTTTCCTTGGTTGATATTACCATAATTAAAATTAGGTAGCTAGCATATTTATTTTTACCGTTGTTAATCCTCCTATATATACCCTTACGTTCGTATTTAATGTCTAGTTTTCCAATTACGGTTCTTTCAATACATTTTACATTAAATAATCAAGTCAAACGGTATAACAATTTACGTCTTTTACACATCTACCAAATGCCCTCCTAGTTTGATCTAAATTAGCCGATTCATTTAAAATCATATCCCCCGTCCCATAAGGCTTGGCCAAATGTTCTTTTTAGCCGTCCTAGAAAACTTTGTCATTTTGATTTAAAGTAATGAATATGTGTTAAAGTAGTTTCTCTCTCCTCTGCATAAATCCCAATACAAAACAAAATCTTCTTATTCGTTTATATGCATATAATTTATTACGATTACTTTTATTCTAAAAACCAGCACAAAACAGTGAAAGTTTTAACAATATTTAATTTGAAATGTTTTTATTTAATTTCCATTTATCAATTTAAACAATATAACCTCAAAATAAACAATACAGACTATATAATATATTGCGTAAAACATAGTTTCTTCCCAAAGGAAAGTACTTTTTAATCTTATTTCCCAAAAGAGAGTACTTTTTAACTTATTTCCCAAACCAAGGTAGTTTTTGCCAAATTAAGTGTGACCATATTTCATACATATGTTAGAGATATGTAATTTAGGATATGAAACATGTAGCAAGATAACAAAGTATTTATATGAAACCCTAGCTGGAATCTCGCAACTCCAGCACGGGAAGGAATAAAAGGCTCCATAATTGTATTTGTGAAGAAAGGACTTTTAATTTTGTGAATATAAAGTGACCTAAATCTAAGTGGTTAAATAAACTTTGGAGAGCTATTTTAACAAACTAGTATGGTGGTCTGATGGTGTGATTCGTGATTTGCTTAATGAAGTGGCCAGGGTTCGACACCCATTAATTGACATGGAATTAGTGACGTGATATTACAGAATGCAGATTTCACACGAGTGCTGACATGGCAAAAACTACCTTGATTTGGGAAATAAGTTAAAAAGTACCCCGTTTTGGGAAATAAGATTAAAAAGTACCCTAACTCCGTATGACTTTGGTAAGAGTGACAATTTATTTACACTTGCTATGCTCCCGGTAAGGAAGTTGTACGCTAACAAAGTCCACTGCCACATAGGGATAGACTGGGACAGATCGGCCCGACCCGGTCCTAGCTCGGGCCCAATACTGTACAGGCCCAATCCTAACGCGAGGCCCAGCCCAGGGCTATAAGAGCGGGCTTCAAGCTTGATTTTTTTGTCCCAGCCGGGCCCAATTGCACTGTTTTTTAATCTAATGCTCAGTCCCGTCCCGAAGCCCAACCTGACCCGGTACTGTTTGAGCCCGGGCCGGTACTGGGCCTGAAATCCTTAAGCCCGAGCCCGCCCAGTCCCGTCCCATCCGGCCATCCCAACTCCGTCCTTACTACCACATCCTCCCTTTAAAATTATCTTCAAGCAGCAATCTTATTTGAATGTCATTTTCATTAATCATAAGACCATGTCTATATTCCTAACATGCTCGAAGTTCAACAACGATGATCCATTAACAAGATTCAATATTACGGAGTAATTAGCAAAAATCATCACTATAAGATGATTAGAGCGTTTTAGCTGGTGGAGCATTACTAATGGCTCTGTACATTTTTATAGCAATAGGAGTTAGCAATTCTCAGACATTAAACCACAACTTCTCCAGTGGAGAGCGATGTGAGACTTCCAGAGTGGGAGCACCAAAATATGTGTGACTCCAAACTAAAATAAATAAGGAAAAAGAAAAGGCCTATGTTATATAGTAGCCACCCAAATTATTATCAGTGGCATAAATCCCCTCAGAATTCGGAGCAGATTGGTTTGGTGGAGGACTATATCCAGAACTACCCTTTGCTCTACTGCCCTTCACAGTACGTTGTTTGGTGTCAGAAGGGAATTCAGCATTAAGTCTCCCCATTTGCTTCTGCAGATCAGCAACGGATGGATTGTTCACTTTCCCTTTGGGGCTTTTCTTTCCATCCACCAGCTTCAGTTCCAATCTGTATAAAGCACAGGTGTCATAGTTGTTGATCTCGTACTCATATAGATGCCACTCCAAGTTTTGCATCGGTTGTGGGTCCATGTAATATGACCTTTTTAGCCCTCCAAACTCATTCATCACCTGCTTTCTTGACTCGTGCCACCCACGTCCATTATAATCAGGTAATGACCTTTGCTTTCTGTTACCACTCTCGAACGCTCTTCGGGGCTTGTCAAAGAAAAGCCACTCCCTTATTGTTTCACCCTCAACAATTTGGAGATCGAACAGTTCTGCAAATCCAAAACATGACTGTTTGTAAGGTTCCATTTTAGGTCCCTTCTAGAACCCAGAAAATGGTAGGGGAAGATAATATGGAGAAAATGGTAGGGGAAGATAATATAGGGGGGAACTTTATAAAACAAAGTGCCCAACTCAATAAATCAATTTTAAATATTTGAACTAACTCAATTTACTCGGAGTGCAGACCTGATTCAGTTATTCAACTATCTTTTGTCTCAATTTGGTCATCATCTAGTCAGCTATGCAATTTAGGCTGAATTAAGACTTCATGCACACGTTGCTCCAATTAAGAAGGGTATATATTTATGTACACTGAGGACTAAAATTAGTTCATATTTAATCATTGAATATTTAATTGAGTCCCAATAAGGATATTTTTATTTGGACTGTTTTCAATTCCGGACCAGCCCAAATCAAACCAGATTTGACCAGACATTTACCAAACTAGACCAGACCAGTTTAGACCAGATCAGACCAGAAAATTTCAAACCAATTAAAACATCCCAAGTTGGGTCTAAATTTATTGAACAGATTAAAATACCATTAAACCAAATGTGAATGAGGACTAAATTGAGTCCAAAAGATTATTGAAGACCGATTGAGTAATAGTCAACAGTTGAGGGATTAAATATAGTATTAACTCTCTGGTTTAAGTCTATTACAGAAAGACTGATACATCTAAATACATGTGTAAAACTTTAATGCAAATTTAATTTGTATTTCCAAAAGTAAAACCAAACATAAAAATCCATTGCCTCTGGGTATATCTCTTTTATTTCCCT